AGAGTGAGCTCCCGTTACTTGTCCCAGCTTCTGCCAACCTAGCAGTTCGGAAGCATGTAAAAATGCAAGTAGAAAAATAGGAACCACCTTTGGTGGGAAGGTAACAGCATTCCGTGCACTTTCGGCGTTTAGTCATGCTGGCCACATGACCACGGAGATGTCTTCGGACAGCGCTGGCTCTTCGGCTTTGAAACGGAGATGAGCACCGCCCCCTAGAGTCGGGAACGACTGGCACATATATGCGAGGGGAACCTTTACCGTTTCACTGAGAGTAAAATTTAACACTTACAAGACGTCTTAGAAGTCGCTGCTCAGAAGTGAAAAGAAAGGGAAAGAATGGCAGTTCTAGACTTACCACCACGCATGGACCCCAAAATTTCTGTTGCTAAATGAGACATAGGTTAAGTGAGTTTTGCCCCATTTTACAACCTTTCTTGCCACGCTAGTTAAGTGAATTACTGCAGTTGTTCAGTTAGCAACACGGTTGTTAAGTGAACCTGGCTTCCTCATTGGCTACGCCCATAATGGCAAACCTGGGTCACGAGGACCCATGTCGCCTGGCACATGTGGCGTCGCCCATTCCTCTTCCGAATTTCTGGCGCGCATGCATGTGTGATGATCAATTGGCCTTCGTGTGTGCCGCGGTGCCAGAAACTGGAAGAGCTGGTCTTCTGTTTTCCAGCAGTAGCATGCGGGCCGACCAGCTGATTGCATGCGCCAGGTGTGGGTTTCAGGCGGTACACCCCGGTAGGCGCGTACCAGAGCCTGCCCGGAGCACTGGATACCATTCCGGTACGGTGCTCTGGAGGGCCCGCCCAAGCTCCTTACCTGTCCTTTAAAGCCTTCAGCGTTTTCGTGCATGTGTATGGCGCGTACAGCGCCTGCACAACGCTCCGCCGAGCAGCTGGAGCATCGCGGAGGCGTTGATGGCAGGTATGACGCATGCACGTGCTGCGCGCGTCCATGTGGGTGACGCTGTGCCCGTTCCAACCGTACCGGTTGCAACAGAATCCAGAACCCACCACTGGCGTGCGTGATGGTAACCAGAAGACTAGCTGGCCAATGCACCGGAAACCGGAAGTTCATTTTCCGGCATGCGCATGCCCCCTGGGCAGCTCCTCTTCCTGATTGGGGCCCTGATGAGCACGCGAGTGCGAAGCACTTGGTGCCGAAAAGATTCGCCATCACTGGGCTACGCAATTAGTCCTAAGTCCCCAGTAATGTGATGACCGATTTCTGAAGAAAGAAGTCTCATTAATTGTCATGCACTCTAAAACCCAGGCCTGTATATCCACACAACCCGTTCTCTCTTCTTTCTCGCGTGTCTAGGCAAAGAACTTGACGATATGGAAGAAGTAACCTGTTTGTCGGGAAGCAATAAAGGCAGCAATTCAGAAGTTCAGTCCCTCAGCTCCTACCAGTCAGATTCCGGTGATGATAATGGTAAGAATATAAATAGTTTTTATCCTCCCATCCAGGGGTGGGCTTCAAAAATTTTAGCAAGGGGTTCTCTGCCTGGTTGCTG